GGGGGGGGGAGGGGGGGGGGGGGGGGGTGGGCGTGGGTGCGGGGGCGCGGCGCTCTTGCCACTGCACGCTGTTGGTCCGGGAACTGCTCTTCGGTGGCTCCTCTGGCAGCTCTCGCTGTTGGGCCAGGAGCACATGGGAGCGGGCATGTGCCCCCAAATATGTGTGGGGCAGGCTGGGCTGGGCTGCACTCCAGATGGGTGATGGAAGGTGTTGGGAGCGGGGGCTATCTCCTCCCACTGCTTGCCCAGCCAGGGTGGGGAGACACAAGATGGTGCCACTGTGCTGCCTCAGCCAAGTGGCACGCAGCAGCGGAAGCTGCTCCAGCCTCCCTGCGCCTCCCAGACAAGCTGCAGCTTCACCCCACTGTGCCCTGGCTGAGCAAGCAGTGGCAGGGCCTGGGGGTGGGCACGTGCACCCAGATTGGGGAGGGGACAAAAGCAGGGGCTATGGGGAATTTTAGGGTGGCTGCAGTCCCCCCGTAGCCCCTGCTCCACTGTGCTCTGCAGGGCAGGCAGAGCCAGGGCAGCACTCTGGACTGTGGCTGGGGCTAGCCGCACGGAGCACAGCCCTGGCTCCACCCACCCCTCAAAGCGCAACCCAGCCTAGCTTGCCCTGAGCAGATCCAAGGGCACATGCCCACTCCCATGCCCTCCCAGACCGGTGGCACATGGTGGTGCACAGTGGCAGAATTCTCCTTCCCCGAGTCCCACACCCCAGCTGGGCAACTTGTCCCAGCCCCAGCCCAAATCCCTCCCCTGCCGTGGAAGCATTGATCTGCCTCCCCTCCAGACTCCTTCCCTCCTGCCTCTACCCACTATAACAGGCTTACCAGGTGGAGGCAGCTGTGTCCAGCATGGTCGAGGACTGCTGCCTGTTTAGTCTATGGCTGAATTTCCAAATCAGCACTGAATCTCTCTAAACTGATTCAGAGGCTTCTGAATTGACTTGGACCTTTAATGCGTCTCCAGATTCAATTCAGAGATTCGGCTGCCGAATCGGGACAAATCTCTTCCAAACTGAATTGGCTACTGAAGCTTCACACAGCCCGAGCAACAAGTCCTGACTTCTGCAAGTTTACCAGATAGCTAAGCAATGGACAGAGTCACAAAAACACATGCACACCTGTATTCATGATGTCCATTTCATATTCATCTACAATACTAAGAGAAAACAGAAAAAAAACACTAACTATAGTCAAGATATCATGCATTTCAGGGGAAGAACTAATAAGATTATTGCTATTTTTAGTAAGACAACAATTGCTCTTGCTTGTCCGTCTTTTAGGGTCATTAAAATAGTTATACATGCCAATCCAAAAACATCTATTGAGATTACCTGAGAATTATTTGGCATGATCATCAGTAACCTAATATAAACATATACTAGAAGCAAAAGAAAAGTGCTTAGCTTCTCTTGTTTTAATACAATGATTTAAAATCCTTGGGGTACAATTCTAACTTCAGAGAAGTAAGCCTAAACTTTGAGATTGCCTTTCTGAAAACAGGTACAGAAAAAAAAAAAAGGCAACATAAGCCAGAACTGTGCAAATAACTGGCCTTTCTCATTTGTATTTATTCTTTTTAAAATCAGATTTAGTTAAATTCTCCAAATGTTATTTTGAAACAAATAGGTGAAATATGCCATTTGGGAAGTGTCAAAATGAAACAGTTATACTTTCACGATTACTCTCCCTCCCCACCTTTCAGCCTAAATATTTTTGCTGAAATTGGGATGAATTCATAAACTGTGTTTTGGTCAATCAGAAACCCTAGTTTTCAATAAATAAATTATTTGTCCAAAATAATTTGCCCAGCTCCAGTCCTTGCATTTTTGTGGTTACTCATTTTTGGACAGCTGATAAGTAATAATTGAACAAACATTTAAAAAATGGGAGTTGTTTGTAAATAAAATGTGGTATCATCCAGAAAAACATATTAATGCTTTAGAAATTAATGTACCATGAACAAAACTACAATTCATATGACTGTGTGGAAGCAATTCATTTACCTGATAATAGTCTAGATTCTTTCCCATAAAGGACACTGTTGTTGGATAGTCCATTGGTATTATTGAAGGGGTGGGTGTTAGAAACTGTGGACATTCTTCTTCCTGGGGAATCAAACATTTTATACATAATTTTTAATATATATATATATATATATAT